TCTTTGATACTTTAAGCTAACTCATGGCCCAATGTTTCCTCATGGCCCAATGACAGACTACAGAGTATTAAAAAGAAATAAAAGAAAAAATAAAGAATCCTTAATATGATTTTTATTTAGAACATACTTTAAAAACCCATTTAAAATTTCTCCTTCAGTTTCACCAAATATCATCCTTCAATCATATATTTCAGTTCTCTTTCCAATAAAACTTTCACTGAATACTTTTAAATCTGTTTTTCTTCTAAGTGCTGGGAATGGCCGCATGAGCATGGGGAGGGGGCATTCTGATTTTTAAGGCATACTTTATTAACCCATAAAGGGCCAAATGACACATGGTGTGGATACAGAACAATCCTTGAAATCACGGGTTACATGTACATGTTGAAACTAGAACATTATTGTAGGAGTTAATGTGAATAGTATTGATTTTAGCATATGGGTTTCCCAATACCTTTTAGCTTGAAGAAAATCGCCATGAACTATGTAGTGTTGCAAAACGGGTAGCTGGACAAAGTTTTTAGAGTCCTTCCTGTGCTGATCATAAGATGCTTTCATAGCTTTATTTTGGCTTTGTGGTTGAGGTTTTGACATTTAGCTAAAGACTTTCATTCCTCTAGCGTACTAGTGCGTTGAAAGCATTCGCTTTACTTTCTTGAATCTTTTCCGAAGATATTCCGTGCTAGCATAGCATCGTTCGTGTTTCCGAGTGGACGGCATATGTACTGCTTTCCGTACTTCCTCCAAACGTAAAACAAAACCAAACCAAATAAAACTTTGAAACTTGAAATCTTTAAGTTTGCTCTCAAACAATCTGGTCACATTTACAGGGGTGTCCAAAACGAGATAATGAATAATATCAGTGCCAGCACTAGGTCACACAGCAACTTCCTCATATTCTTGGACAGTTTGTAAGTCATTTTCCATTTCTCCCAAAGTTACAAAAGTTTCCACAGTTTCCCTTAGCAAGCTGAAGCTTACTCTTCATTTGTCAATGTGCATAAAAGCTGCTTATAGCACAGCATGGCGTAAGCTATTTTTTAAGCAATAAATGGTTTGAGTCATCTATTTTGTCCTGAAATGCTATCTGTAGTTAACTGCATTGCTTATAAATGGTCATAGTAAATTCAGCATGAAAGAGAATATTACAGAAAAGACAGCAGCAGAAGCATTAGCATTATCTAATATTTATATATGTTATCAACATAACACAGCAGTAAAACGTTAAAATGCATATCAGTGGGTACCATGTCTAAAATTACTATAGTACCTATTTAATGTAGTGAATATTTCTCTTAAAGAGTGCTTGCTGTAACTAGAACAGCGTAATATGTGATTTAGTACAGTTAATTCTTATTGATTAAATAACATATTTATGTACTGAAGGAAGTGAAAGAAGACAGATTTTTTTCTTTTTTTGCCTCCATGTGATCCCAGATTTAACGTTGAAATGAAGATTCCGAGGGACCATAACATCATTATTTAACTAAAATGGGCTTCAAAATATTTGAAAGACAGTATGATTTTCATCTAAACAGTAAGGTGGCACCAAATGCTTATGACACTACTGGCCTGTGACTCAGTTCAGAGCCAGAGTCCAAAATTGTGCCCCTCATCTGCAGTCACGATAACTACTCGGCTTCAGAGAGAATCGCCCGTTGGTATGCTCATCCTCTGTGAGCCATGTGTAAAGCAAAATGAAACAGTGGCAAATGTAATCAGTTGCTAAATACCTTTTGTACAAGAGGCGCAAACACAGTCCTTTCTAACAATTAAACTGCCATTTACAGTAGATTTTTTTTTTTTTTGTATGCCTGGAGAGACTCAGAAATGATGAGGGGAAATGCCCAGGGCAAATGGTCTCCGAGTGGATATTTACACAATGTGAAAGCCACTGTACCCTAGTTACCTGGAGAAAATGAAGATTATCTTGTTATTATGAAATCAAGCAGACATGATACAGCCTCACCATTCCTAAAACCTGTAGAACCCTATCCCAAGCCTAAGTACAAAGTAATCCCCAAATCCCTCTGCCCAGTCACCCACTGTCTTCCTGTTACATAGAATAAATGTTTAGATCACTCCCTCCCACCCTCAAATAAAGTGCGCAATCCATGGCAGACCATAGAACAATGCAACAGGAAAAGCCCCTTTTTGTATTATTATTTAAAAATAAAATACAAACAACAAAAATAAAACAAAGATTGAAGAGAACTCAGAGAGTCTCCGCATCTTGCAAAAAAAGAGCAAGGACGCCCTTCGGGACAGTCACTGATGTCAGTACACATAGCCTTCGTTGTAGGGGTGCGGGTTGCAACAGCCCCCTTCTGGCATGTAGGCCATGCTCTCGTCAAAGTGAGACAGAGGCACCGTGTCCTCCTCGTTGATGTGGCGCTCCATGTCTGTCTTCAGCAGCGGGCGCTGGTTATCTGGGAAGGCCATGGAGAACAGCGCTTCGGGATCGCACACGAATTTGTAGACGTATCTCTCTCCGGCCACCTGAGGACAACGTGAAAGAGAAAAACGCATCTCACCATCACCAGATGAGAGGGGTTGGCAGAGGAAAAAAGAAAAACAAAAACAAAAAACATGATTTAATGTACTGGAAAAGATAGAAAAATATAAAATAAAGCAACCAATTAGCAGTAGATATGAGCATAGTAGCCTTGTGAGATAAATGAAGATTAAGCAAGGCAAATAGGAAGAGAAAACCTTGAGTAATAATTATTTCATTCCAAATATTGCTGGAAACTCAGCATTTTCCCTGTTTTAACATAAAAATAAGCGTTACATTGTCATTTCAAAAACAATCAAACACTTAATGCAGACATTGCATATAGGAATTTTCTGTACGAGGACAGTAGTTAGTCCTATAAAGACCTGTATTTCTAAGGATTAGTGTCTCTCTGTCAATATTACCTTTCTGAAGAGGTATAAAAAGTCAACTTTCAAACTTTAAAGAAAAATATGTTTTACTCTTAATAAGACTAGACTAGTGATTCTCAGGGTGCACGTTCTTCTTCCATTTCATTTATTTATTTTTGTGTACTGTATAGTCTCATCTAAAATCCAAAGATATACGGCCTTATTTAAATGAAAGATGGAGCCAGAGGATGGCATCATCCCGGGCATATCGTTTTTACAAATGAGGCCGAGACACATTAGGCAGAACGTAAGGACGTGTGCAAAGCGTCAAATTGAAGCAAGAGGTGCAAAAAAAGTGAAAAGAATCAAAAATATACACTGCCTAGAGAGGAAATGAGAATAAGAAATGTGACAACTCTGTCTTAAATAAAGGAGACATAGAATAATTCATCAGGAATGACATACCCAAATTTAAACTCTCAAGAGTGATGCTTTTGTGGAAAATTATAAACAATAGAATGAGACAGATATGCTAATATACTTCCTTTAACAACAATATCGAAGAGTTCAATCCCCAAGAGGGTATTGACAAACAGTTCTCTGTATTAACTTAGGTTGTAACTCTGTGTGTGTGTGTGTGTGCGTGTGTGCGCGCGCACGCGCACACTCGTGTGTACCTTATAATTTCAGATATCTGAAAATTATTCAACACCCTTGTGTTCCTCTCTGAGGAAGTCATGGCTCCTCTGTGTTGGGGAGATACTGCCTGCAAGGTGTGTAAGTCAGCTGTACGTGGTTATGGGAAAAGGAGCCGCTACCAAAGAGCATTGCTCCTCCGGATACAGATTGGCAACATTTTCAGCCCTGATTTAAGGAAGAAGAAAAAGTTTAGCAAATCCAAAAAATTGCAATAATCCTAACACAAAAGTGCTAACTCTCAGTAGTGCTTGTAGTTCTGGACAGGTCTCTCAAACTGCTGCTTGGTTCCCCGCCTTGCCAAGTGGAGAAGGGGATGGCTCTGTGAGAAGCAGGTTGTGACACAGAATGACTTCTCTCTGCAGGAGCAAGGAGAGCAGTTTGGCATAACTCAGTTACTTTACTGTTTCAGACAAAGGAAACTAATTTCTCAAAGGTGGACTGGAACAATAACCATAAACATAAAATAGGCAAAATTGGAAACAATCTGGGATAATAAATCCTATTGTCCCTTTTTTTTCATTGTTTGAAGTATTTTTCAGAATAAAAATAAAATAAATGTCCTACATTCCTTTGAGAGATCTATAAACTGTTTTATTTTGCTTGGGACCATAGAGAAAGAGATATTTGCTGTAGTTACTGGAACATTTTTTTCTGACATGTCGATACTGGCTATAATTAGAGATGACATGAAAGCTTGAAACTTTTCAGCATAGGACATTTAAATATATACCACACTCTCAACACTATAAAATCTCTTAAGCACTTTCCCATACTTGTTGTTTCTTCCTGAATTAACTGTTAAGAATTAAGGGCCAGTGAGTTAGCTCAGAGGACTAAGCACCTGCTTAGGCAAGCACAGAGACTGGGCTTCCATCCCAGGCTCCACATGAGCGAGGCCCTGCCCCCAAGTGTGCTGAGCCTGCCACTGAGTCCAGGCATGGTGGCGCATGCCTGTAATCTCAGGGCTGGGGAGGCTGAAAACAGGAGAATCACTATGAGTCGAAGCTGTGCAGTGAGACTCTGTACCAAATACATAAAAAAGAAAAAAAAAAAAAGAAAAAGAAAAAGAAACACTAACTGTAAAAGATTAAGGATTACCACTACATTTATTGGATTTTGCTAAATGTAAATAAGCTTAGAACAGGAGCTGACATCCAAAAAGGGAAATGATGTTTTCCATTATTAATAGTATAATTAGTACAATGTTGTAAATTAAGAATGCCCAAATTGCCACACTGAGATAGGAAAACAGGAATCAGAAGTAAGCAACGAAATAGCTTGTAAACTGTACTATCAAAGGCTAGATATCTCAATCATGCTTTGACTTAAAAATTTCAAGAATAATTCAGGATACTGGCTAATGAATAAGAAAAGGCAGTTGAAGCAAAAAGAAATAATGCTGTATAATTAAATCATCCAGAAAACCATTGCTGTCAAAACATAGATATGTATTTTCTAAGCATTTTTTAAAAACTGCAATTATCTTTTTTATAAGGTACAATAAATATTGCTCTACTCTTTCCTACTTCTTTCATTATTACTGAAATTAATTGCCAGTTTTAATTGCATACACATTTAAAAGTATTTTTTATTTTTATTTTCTACTCATCATCTTCCTTACATGCATTGCATATGTCCACATTTAAGTCAATGAATAAAAGTGACCATATTCATATTTTCACCTATGCATTGAAATATGTAATCTCACATCATAATTTTTTTAAAAGAATGGCATATTTCTTTCTGAATGACTATTCTAGAATTTACTTAATTATCAGAAGGGTGCATATGTTAACACTTAGAATGAGAAGGGCAGAACGTTCTAGACAAATGCAGAAGATGCCCTGGGGGAGTCATGGATATGCCAAGGGACAGCAAGGCAAGGGCTTCCTGCACAAAGGTTAGTGTCATCAGGGGCCTGGGGTGCTAGCTGCAGGTAGGCTACAATTGTATAATGTGTCCTCTTGTACAGCAAGCGATGATGTCCTTTGGGTCTGTTTCTCACAGTATCTTACTGTTCAGCATTAACAGACAAATGAATTGTAAGTAGTTTTCTTTGGCAGTTACAGCCTAATAGGGAAACTATGAGGAGGGACATTTTTAACTATCTTTTAAGATCTATATCACCATTTGACAGCCTTATGCCTTATTAAGTCCCTGAAAAAAAGATTATATAAATGAGGTGACCCTTTTCAACCCCAGCTAGTTGAATCTTAAGTGTCACCAAAAGGGCTATGTGGTAAAAGCTTGGACAGATGTGGCAACTTTAAGAGGTGGAACTTAGTGAAAGGGCCTTAGATATCTGATGACATGTCTTAAATGGGAGAGGGGACCCAACCTCTCCAATTTTTCTGTCACTTCCTGGCCATAAGAAGAGTGAATTTGCTTCTGCTGCCTGACCTAAAGACCCAAAATACTAGAGAAATTGGTCATAAATGGAAACCTCAAAAACTGTCACTCAAAGTAAACCTTTTCTCTGTATAAGTTAGTTTATCCCAGATAGTTGTTATAGTCATGGAAAACTGACTCACACAACCATTTCCTGAAAACTACAGTGTAACTAAGGATGTTGTACTAATTTTTTAATTCTATGAATGTTTCTTTTAGTAAAGGTATTTAATGGTCAAGACACAAAAGTCACATATGCCATAGTTCACACTGACATCAGGGTGAGAGCTACCATTTATATGAGTCTTTCATCATGCCAGGTGCCCTAGACAGCATCTCAGGCACAATACTTCATTTAATAAGCAGACTCTTCTATAAGGTAAGGGGATAGTCAATTAGTAGGAGGAGATTCTGTTCAAGAAGGAGAGGTGGTGACATGCCATTAGGGAAACCAAACTCAAACCAACACTTCCACTGCCTGGCTATACAGCCCATGGAAAACACAGAACAACTAATGGAAAGGGCCCAGAGGAGGAAGGTAACAAAAAAGGAGGGACCAGCATGCATTTGGATGGATTCCGCTAGATGTGAATATGGTGGGCAAAGACAAGAGGAAAGACAGGTGATCCTAGGCCTGACAGAGAAAAGACAGCATTAGTGCATGTGTTGAAGACAAAGTTCGGGAACTGGGGAGAACAACCTAGTTAAACCTCATCTTTTTTTTTGTCAGAGCTGGGGATTGAACTCAGGTCCTTGCTCTTGCCAGGGAATCACTTATTCTCCTGAGCCATCTCCCTGGCCAAAAACTTCATCTTTTAAGAGTCTTGAAATCTCTAAATTGTAAATTAGAAAATTCTAGCACTGATTCCTCATGTTTTAGAAACCTCCATGGTAATTTTCTCTGATAAGTTTCAGGTAGTAAATGGACTCTTTGCTTTCTAGAATCACAACAATGACAAAAATATGCCAAGATCTATAATATGTAACAAGATTCACACCCCTCAAAATACACAAAGCGTACATAATAAAATTATAATGTTCACAATAGATAAATCATAAAAGTCAAGGCAATTAAAATGGAAACACATGCAAGCTAAAGAACATAATAACAAGCATATAATTTTTTAATTTTGTTATTACCTCCTTCAATATATTCTATATTGCAAGTGTAATTAATTTCTAGTTAATCTTTTTTAAAAAATCATTTCCAAATAGTAAAGGAGCTCACTTGAAATAAAACATTTCTTTAAAAAGATTTATACTTTTGTGCTGGATGGTTAAAAACAAGACAAAGCAAGACCTATATAACAAGAAATGTAACTTTTGTATCTGACAAGGTCAGTCAAATCCCCTTAGAATTTAACATGAAACCCTGTACTGCGGTCTGTAGATCCTTTGTCAGTGTCAGCCATGTGAATGAGTCACGGCCATTACTTGACCACTTTGAAATGAGGTTTAAAAAGTAAAGCCATATTAATATGCTAACTGTAAAAGGCTCAAGTCAACAACTTCTGACATTGCCAGTCCCACTACTATTATGGTCTGCTGGACTATATTGGATTATTTTGCTGAATTCACACACCTACAATATTTAAATGGCAATGGAATACATACCTCTGACAAAAAGAAACAAAAAAAGGGGGATATAAATGAAGGACCATTTTGTATCTGTATACACAAAAGAGTTAAGATAGATATACAGCTACTTTCTCTTAATTCAATGATCAGAAAGGTTTGTACTACTAGTGTTTGGACAGGATATCATGTCTGCATCTTGTACTATGAATAAGCACTACGAAGACAACAATATGCAATGTATTAATTATTGAAACTGTCCTACTAATCGGTTTTGAAACTGTCTCATTGCTATTTGTTTCTCAATAAAATTAATTAAAAAAATAAAAAGATTTATTTATTTAGTACTGGATCTCACTAAGCAGCTCACAATAATAGTGATCCTCCTGACTCAGCCTCACCAGTGCTAGGATTACAGGTGTGCATCACCACACCCACTTTCAGTGGCCAGCATGGCACACGGTAAGCCTGGCATGTAGTACCAGGGATCGAACCAGGGTCTGTGCACTTGTCAGGCAAGTGCTTAGGCAACCAAGTTATCTCTTCGGCCTGAAATAAAACATATTGTTCTTTATTTTGTCAACTCAATAAGATCAAATGCTTATTTTAAGTTTGATTTTTAAAGAGAGTTAAAATAAATGAAAATGATACAAATTGTCAAAACAAGATGGTAGGAAATTAACAATGATTATCATATTACATATTTTATCTTCAAAGTGGTTACTCCAATTATTTTATTTTATTTTAATTTATTTATTTATTTTTTTTTGCAGAACCGGGTATTGAACTCAGGCCCTTGCGCTTGTCATGCAAGCACTTATTCTACTGAACCGTCTCCCTGGCCCCTAATTATTTTAAATAAGTGGTTTGGTATATTAATCCATCAGATAATGAAATCAGACAAGATATTAGGGAAGAATATGTGTTTTTCCTAGAGAGAACAGAAGATATCCTCATCTCTTAAGAATCAGAACATGAAAAAAAGGAATTAAATCAGTCTACTTTTCTTTATTTTCACTGGAATCTATAAACAAATGCTTTGCAAAAATATGTATAATTGCAGAAAATACAGCAGATAACAACTTCTGGAGGTAGATGGATGCAATACCAATTCTGAAACAGCCTATGTTTAAAAACATGCACACAAAAGTGGGAATTACCAGGAAGCCTACTACTCTGTGTATAATATTATGACACATTTGTCTACAATGTCTATGAATTTATAAATAGAAAAGCTTGCAATACAAAAATCAAGAGCTAAGCGTTTGTTACAATGAGTGAAATCCTTGCTTCAGCAATGCAATAATATGTGGCTTTTAAAGTATGACGTACAGATTAATGTGCAACATTTCGATGAATTTTAATGCTGTATTAGCTGCTCACCTTTTGCATGATTCCTTTCTCATAATAATAGCGGAGGGAACGGCTAAGCTTATCGTAGTTCATAGCTGGCCTGTTTTTCTGAATGCCCCAACGCCGGGCCACCTGCCACCAACACAGAATTACATTATAGCTTCAAGTATTAACTTAGCATATTTCAGAAGAAAATAGTTCATTAAATAATTACTTCTCAGTACATGAAAACATGTCCAAATCAAAGACATAAGTAAAGTTACAAGAGCTGCCGTGATCTGAATTTCCTGTGTACTGGGTTGCTTTTTAAAGCAGGCATGCAGTGACCACTCTGAAACATAACAATAGAATTCTTTGTCACTATTGTTTCGGATACAAAATTAAATGGAAATAAGGGAATATGTTTACCACGGGAATGAAAAGACTACAGTTCCCTAAAAGGAGGCAAATTACCCGATTTGAGATACACTACCTGGTTTTTTCTTTCTCAGTTCTTCAGAGAAAACTATAGATTAAGAAGCACTTAATGACCTCTTTATAAAGGTGCTTTAGTATGGTAAACCAAAAAAGAAGAGAACCTTCAGTTACCATGTCAAACAATGAACAAGTGGCCATAGGAGTAGCTGTGGAAACAATATACAAATTAATAAACTGAACTACAAATAATTAGTATTGCCCGGAGCGGCATCGGAATAGAAGTGTAGCTAATACCAAACTGGAAAGTTAAGCATTCATCTGGAGAACAGTAATTGGATGCTAAAAATAAGAAGGAAGTAGAAAAGGTCACCATGTATATGTGTCTACAAACAAAAACCTCTAAAGCAGAATGTCCACATTGTTGTTGAGTGCAAACTCCAGAGGTTTTAAACACATGGCTTTAGCGGAGCAATGTTTCAGGGTAAGGCAGAGTTCATAAAGACGGAGCTAAACTCAGGCCCCCTTCTTCCCACTGCCAGGCTGGGCTAGCTGAGGAGCTGTGGAAGGTTGTGCAGGCGGCTTCTGTTCTCGAGGAGCTAACGCCATGTTCTCATTAAGTTCAACTTTTATTATTCTGAGCAAAATCTGCAGCTGTCATGCAAACCTAGGCAACCCTAGGAGAGCCTTATCAAATGGGGTTTGTGTGTTTCTTGAATTTCCTTGAAATTCCAAGTCGTTGCTTTGTCACATATGCTAAAATAGCTCTTCAAAGAGAGCGTCTGTCTCTCATGTTAGGAGCAGTAGCCTGTCTCCAGGGTTTGTTTTATTTTACATTATTTTTTGAAAAACACCTCTCTTTACTAGTCTCCCCCTAACTTGCATCCTCTGAATGAAAATACAGTGTGCTTTAGCCATATGCACCAGTAAGCATTGTTTCTTAAAGAGTTTTGGAGACGTGATGTAATAGGGACAAGATTACAGCCAAACCAACCATCCAGGGCATCCATAGATCAATTTTTCCAAAAATAAACTTCATTTAACATAAATCTTCTGGGCAATTGTGAAATGAGAAAAGGGAAAGGTGGCAATAAGAAATTAAAGCATTTTCTAAATAAACTATCTTTCAAAATGTAACAATGGGCATTCAAGGACTCTTTAATAAACATGGCAGCTGAACAGCATGTAAACCTTGAGGGGATGTGAATATAAATTATTAATGCCTCTTTAGATTAAGCAGCCACTTGAATACTTATTCATCTATGAACAATTCTTTTCTAGAAACTCAGCAGGATTAACCTAGAAAATAATATACTAAAAACAAAGTTCAAGATAACATTATGGATGTCTCAAGAGAGAGAAATACAATTTTTTTTTCATGACACAAAGAGCGGTAGGTTAAAGAGTGTGATTGTTATGATGCCAGTTAGTCCTTAGCACTGGGGTTATTATTCTATACATAAAAAAGAAACGAATTCTTACACTTGCTTCTTCCCAAAGTTGAAAAAAAAATGAGACGGCAATATTCTTAGGAGATGCAGATGGGAAAGAAGTTTAACATTGACAGGGAACATAAACAATTCCCAGGTCACGTGGCCCACCCATCAGTCAATGAAATGCAAAGCATATTTTTAACAAAGGATGCATGAGGTAGTGACATTCTCATAGCATTTCCTCAAATGAAGACTTTGGTTTTAGTGAGAAAAGTAAAAAAAAGATGCTAAGGATATAGCGCTCCACTGCGTTGCCCACAGAATTCAATAGGACAATGTAATAGTTGAAATCATATTCCTCTTATTTTCAAACAGTATTCTGGATTTAATTAACAGTGACCCTACAAAATACAAAAACTCCCTGGTGTTCAACAAACTTGAATGTTATCAGAAGACTCTGACATCATGCTGCTGTACAGATGCCCAGCTATCCTAACACTTATCCCCGGAATAAATTCTTAACGTTTTTGAATTTTAAAATAATTATCTCATTATCTCAAAGATCTCAGATAGAGAGAAGCGAAAGGTTGTGTGTTTGCTAGCATTGCCCACACTCAATGAGCAGATAATCCACCCATGTCTGAAGATGCAATATAATTTTAAACCTCCGGATGAGCTAGGAAGAAACGGAACTCATGAGTCTAAAGCAATGGCTTCAGAGACACCTTTCATGAGTTGTACTGATGCACATACGCAAAGAGCTGCTGTGGAGCAAAGGTGCGGGGAGACTTGGCCACACAGGCGAAGGGAATTTTGCAAAACTTTTCCAGATAAGTTTTAATAAGAAAGCAGTCATTGCCTGATGGAAGCAACTGCAATGCTGAGTGGTGTAGCAATAAAATACAGGATTTAATTTTGGACAAAGCCTTCAGAGACATTCAGTGCTTACTACACAATTCCCATTGACTTAGCACGAGGAAATGGTCTACCAGCTCTACATTACTCACACTTTTACTTCATGAGTCGGCTACACAAAACTTGTCAAAATGTCAGCTTGTTGTATGGAACAGATGAAACTGTATTTCTTCCCTGAATTTAGAAAAGAGATCACAAAAACTTCCAGTCTGACGGATCTTAATCTTCATCTGGTCGAATCTACTTATTCAAACTCAATCCTCTGAAATGTCTGTAGTTACTACACAAAAATTTAATCACTTGAAATTTTACCCTTCCTAGTGGATCAAGAAGTACTGACATAATTCAGTAATGTCTCTTATCTTAACAAATACATGACAAAAGTAAAAAATTGTATTCCTGTTTAGTTTATTTTAATCACAGGTGGAGGGAAATAACTGTTTAGCTGATACAAATCCCTGTTGAATATGGTCAGTTACAGCATGAAACAGGTGATTATTAACATCTTCCACTCGGGGAAAAGCTCATATTACCCTCATGTTATAGGACTTTCAAACTATTCTGTTAAGTATTTCTAGTTTTAATTTGTTAGTGCTTCATGTGTTTGTGGTTCTTTTGCCATCATTTAAGTATGTCTGTCTGTCTGTCTGTCTATCTATCTATCTATCAATCTATCTATCTATCTATCTATCTATCTATCTATCTATCTATCTATCGAGACAGACAAATTCTTTTTATATACACTATAAACATTTAAATCCCTAAATATTTAGATCAGGCTAAATAAGAGATGTTTTCAATTTCAGATACAAAGCTCTCTCTCTCTCTCTCTCTCTCTCTCTCTCTCTCTCTCTCTCTCTCT